ATTTTAGGAATGCTTCCTCCACATTCAGGGGCTCCCCATTATTTTGCGGCTCCTCTCCTCTGTTTTGGAGCTCATTTCCCCCATTTTAAGACCTTTTCCTCTGTTTTTATGAATTCACTGCCCATTTTTAGGGTTTCCTTCCCCTTTTTTGGGATCTCCATTTCCACAGTCCCCCACCCCAATTTCAGGGTCTCTCACCATCATCTTTCTCTTCTTGTTGTAGCGCAGCTTTGCCTTCTCCTTCCTCTTCTCCTCCAGGGCCTCTGTCACATCCCGGTACTTCCAGCCTACCTCGTGTGCCAGGCGGCCCAGCACAGCAAACTGTGGGGGCAGGGGTGGTCAGGGGGGTCCCCCAAGCCCGGGGAGGGTGTCCAGGCCTAGGGGAGCTCCCCCCAGACCTCCCCAGAGCTCACCTTGCGTGTGGGCTTGAGGCGGATGATCTTCAGTGCCGCTGGGACCACCATGCGCTTGCGCTGGGGAGAGTTGGGGGTCACTGGGAGGGTTTGGGGGTGCAAGAGCAGGTTGGGGAGGGTCCGAGGGGGGTCCCAAAGTCTCAGTGTTTCAGTTTCTCTCAGGGTGCATCGAACAATGTAGGTAAAAACGACATCATTGACAATGGGAGGTTTAGGAGGTGCTGGAGGGTGGATTTGGGGGTGTCTGGGGGTTGGGATCCCAAAAGGTGGATTTAGGAGCATCTGGGGGGGGATATTGGCAGCACACAGAAATCACAGGAAACCCAGGAATGGATTAGGGAGAGTTCCAGGGAAATGCAGGGATCCCATGTAGCAATTTGGGGCTCCTAGTGATAGATTTGAAGGGGTGCGAGAAGAATTTGGGGGTCCCACAGCACTCAAGGGGATCCCAGAGACAATGTGGGGGTCCTGGGAATGGAGCTGAGGTTCCACAGATGGATTCGAAGGTCCCAGGGATGGATTTGGGAAGCTCCCAAGAGAATCTGGAAGTCCCACAGCACTCAAGAGGATCCCAGAAATACGTTTGGGGGTCCCACGGATGGATCTGGGAGGCTCCCAGGGGAATCTGGAGGTCCCACAGCACTCAAGGGGATCCCAGAAATGGGTCTGAGGGTCCCAGGGAAAGATCTAGGAGTCCCAGGGCTGGATATGGGGGTCCCAGGGCTGGATCTGGGAGGTTCCCAGGGGAATCTGAAGGTCCCACAGCACTCAAAGGGATCCCAGAGATGGGTTTGGAGGTCCCGGGATGATTTAGGGTGCCAAGGCCATCCGTACCTTGTCATAGGGAGGAGGAATCCCATCAAACACCTTGAGCCGCTCCAGTGCCGCTTGGCCCCTCTTGGTCTTGTGGGGCAACATCCCTGGGGAGCACAGGGGGGGTCAGGAGGGCTCTGGGAAGTCCTGGGTGGGGGTCCCAAGGGGTCTCCAGCCCCTACTCACCCCTGACCGTGCGCCAGAAGATGCGACTTGGGGCACGGAAATGGAAAGGCCCTCGGGAGGGGTTTGTGTTCATCCTCTTGCGCAGGAAGGCCAAGAACTTCACTAAAGGGGAAAGGGAGTTAGAAACACCAAAGTCAGGGGGTCAAGGTGGGCTGGGAGTCTAGGGAGGTCTTGGAATTGTGAGAATTTCATTGAGGGAGTGAAAGTGGGCTAGAAACCCCAAAATTGGGTGGGGGGAAGGTCACAATGGTTCAAGAGGTCTCAGGAACACCAGGAACTATACTGGAATGACAAAAACATTAGAGACCCCCAAAATGGGGATTCAGAGGTCTCAGGGAGAATCCTAGAAAGTTCACTGGTGGGTGAAAGGGGTTTAGAGACCCCAAAATGGAGGGTGGGCAGAGGGGCTGGGGTCTGAGGGGCTTCCAGGGACTTTGCTGAAACGGAAAAATAAGTCACACACCCCAAAATGAGGTTCTGGGAGGGTTCAGGGTCCGGGAACTGACACAAACATCACTGGAACACGAAAAGGGGTCAAACCTCCCCCAAACTGGGGGGTCCCCAGGCACTGCCCCTCCCAACCCCTTCACTCACACTTGTTCCTGTAGAAGTTTCCGGAAATGTTAATTCCCTCACAGCGAACAACGACCACGCGGCGGCCTGGAGGGACATGGGGAGGTCACAGCTCCGTGGGGACACAGAGACCCTCCCTGAACCCCCAAACCCCCTCCCCGACCCTTCCCCCACGCTCAGCTGGTAGTGCATGTGGCAAATCTCATTGTCAGACACTCAACAGCCGAAAAGGCTCATCACGGCGCGGGGGAGGCACAGGGGCGTCCCGGGAATATCCCAAGGGGGTCCTGGTGTGTCTCAGGGCGTCCCAAGGGGGGTAGTCCCGGGGTATCTCTGGGGGCGTTCCGGGCGGTCCCTGGGGGTG